TTATAAATTTTTTTACACAACTTTTAAGACAATCACAATCATAAAAAAATTTGTTATTAATTATTTTTAGTCACTATTGATATTTTGATTAAAGTTGATTCCATTCCAATGAAAAAAATTATTTTATTCAAACATAAGAATGAAATAAACATTTCATTCCAGTACTTAATTCTAACAACCGCCAAACATTAGAATGGTAATACGCATTCCATTCTAATCTCAAACTCATTTCATTCTTACTAAAAAGTATTACTGCGTACCAAACGCAACGTGAGTTTATTGCTGAAAGGTTCTCGAAATAGGAAACCTTATAGTTTAGTATTGGGAAGGCTAAGCAGAATTTGGAACCTAATTGGTATCTGATTATTAATTTGGTGAAATTAAGGGAATGACATGTAAAGATTTCATTAGTTAATATATCATCCAATGATATCAAAACCAAAATGAGAAGTATTAATTGTTGTTAACTCAAGCACTATATTGTATAGCATATGAACTTCTGGCTTAATGATAGATTTTCGTCATTCTTCTACTCTTTCATCACGGGAGATAAACCACTAGAGTGCAATCAATTCAGTAAATACTGGACCTAATGTCACTATTCAATAATAAATATATAAAATAGGTAAAATGAACCCCATTTGATTACTAAAACATGTAAAATCCACTTGCTCCCTTGTTATTTGAAGGAGTTGAGATCGAAAAGTCAATGAAATTCTATTTGAGTTCTAAAATTCTTAACATGATCGTCTTGCCATCCAAGTAAAATCCATGTTTTAAACTCGAATTCAATTCAAATTTATTTTTTTGGGTTAGGTAAAAAGTTAGGTTGAATTTGAAATTCAAACTAAAATTCTTGGATTTATTAAGGGTTCAACCCGTCAAACTGAAATCGATTATGGATTGAGTTCAGGTAGGGTCCCAGGAAAACCATAGAGTCCAACCAATTATTATCCAAGTTAAAAAAAATGAGATTTTTTACTATCAAACTTGTTAGTTTTGCACAACGGATAATTAACACAAACAACATTTGTTAGAAGATAGGAATTCAAAGATAAGAAAACAATAAATATATGACACAAAGATATATCATGGTTCGATACAACATATCTACCTTGGTACACCATACCTACATCCACGGACCAAGAATTTACATCGATGTATTATGCATTGAAAAATTGATAATTTGGTAACTGATTAAATAATATTTAACTTTATTTATAGGGATAAAATACTGTAACTCAAACCTATTTAGATACAACTTGATTTTTATTTATACTATCATATGTCTAACATTCTTATTTATGATATATTAAAACTTTTCCAATATAATTTTATTTCATATAGGATTCTCACATTAATTAATAGGGCTGTGCAAAAAACCCATAAACCCGACCACCCGATCCATAAACGACCCTTCCGAATGAAAATGGACGGCTAAAACTCTTTTCGATTCGGCCCACGAAAGTTATAAACCATTGCCTGATTAAATTGGTTCAGATAATGGGTACATTCAAGTTATAACCCGAAATACCCGAACCATCCGAATAGTATATTAATAATATAAAAATTAATTTTGTCCTTTAAAAAAATAAAAAAACAAAAATATAAAACCTCCCAATTCCCAAACCCTACTCTGTCTTCTTCCTCAGAACAAGAGTGTGCCACCTCTCGTCACTTTTGAGTCTCTTCTCTGTCTCCTAAACGCTGCCCCTTTTCTTCTTCCTCTACTCTTCATTTCTTTAGTCATAACCGTTCTTTGAGTACACGATAAGGCAAGATATATTTGAATGGATTCTTGGATCTACAAAGCAAGCCCATGGATCTCAAACCTAACCGATCTTCGAGTACACGATCAAGCAAGATATCGTCGAGTGGATTTTTGGATCTTCAAAGCAAGCCTAAGGATCTCAAACTCAAGTTTGACTGGTTCGAAAAAAATGCCTCTGATCTTCAAAAGGATCTCAAACTCAGGTAAGATGCCTCTGATTTTTTTAAGATTTTTGGCTTGTAAGATTGTATGTAAATAGGGAAGTTCAACATTGAAATGAAGTTTTGAAATCTTATCAACAAAAAAATGTTGTTGAAATCTAGTTGAGAGTATTAACCGAAACCGATCCAAAATCGACCGACTTAAAGGGGTCGATTTTAGGTGAGGTTGTATATTTTGATTGGGGCGGTTCGGTTGATAGAAACTACTTCCGACCTCTGTTGGTTTGGCCAATGGAAGTCTTGACTTCGACCCTTTATGTCGGTTGAACACTCCTATTGATTATCCAACAAACTCTCATTCAAGATAACTAGAGAGTTTGAGTCAAATTTCAACAGTTTCCCTTAAACCAAATTCATGATTGAGCTTATCACCCTTAATTATGATTTACCAATTTTTCAAGCACTACGTGCAAACCTGTTTTTTAGAGTCGCTACAATCGTCTCTGTCTTTCAAGAGCATCTTACATGCTCTTGAGAGGTCTCAATCATCAATTCTTCACCATTCAAAAGTAAAAATATAGTGATTCGAAACCCACGTGACACCAAATAATCACTATTGAGTTTATGTCAACCCAATAGCTCCCAAACCATTGGAATACTGTGACTTCAACTCTAAGGGCCAAAAAAAAAAACTGAAGAAACATCTTCAACAAAGCATGTGTGGTAATTCTTGAAATCCAAACAATTAGGAAGCAACTTAGTCTTTCGTTTGATTTCATACCAACTTAAAGTTTTGTTGCACCAGGATCATCAATCTAGTTTTGATTGTTCTACCAGAATCATCAATCTAGCTCTGATTGTTACACCGAGAACGTCAATTTGGCTCTGATACCACTTGTTGGTTTTACACAGCGAATAATTAACACAAATAATACTTGTTAGAAGATAGAAATTCAAAAATAAGAAAATAATAAAGATATGACACAAAAATATATCGTGGTTTGATACAACATACCCACCTTAGTACACCGTACCTACATCCACAGACCAAGAATTTACATTAATGTATTATTCATTGTAAAATTGAACATCTGGTAACTGATTATATAATACTCAACCTTATTTACAAGGATAAAATACTGTAATTCAAACCTATTTAGATACAACTTGATCTTTATTTTTCCTATCACATATCTAATATAACTATTTATGATATATAAAATCTCTTCCAATATAATCCTATTTCATATAGGATTCTCAAATTAATCATCCAATAAACTCTCATTCATTATAACTAGAGAGTTTAGGTCAAATTCTAATAAAATTCATCCCAAATTAGAGAGTATTTTTGGTTTAACTCTGATTGGATTAGGATTCACCACTGTAATAGGATACCTAGCGGTAACTAAAACAGTTTAAAAAGACTATCTTCAAGTGTTCATGAATTGGTATAGTAATGTTTAATGTTTGGATTGTACAAAATAGTTATTCTAAGATATTTATAAATAGGTTTCCAGAATCGAACCCTTTATCGAGGCTCACCAATGACGGGTTGATAAAATTGGCCAGTTAAACCAAATATCAGAACCGATAAATGTGATTTTTATCTGAATTTCAATTCTAGTGTCCAAGTTTATGATTTTTAAATTTCATAGAAGTAAATATTTGATTTGACAATTATATAAAAAATACAGTTGTTGATCTAAACATCGTTAACTTTGAAATTTTAGTGGAAGTTTATTAAAGCTTCACATGGAGATGGCACACACGGCAGAAGTAGGGGTGTCCATGAGCCAGGCCGTCTAGGCTTGTGAAATTTTTTTCGGACCACATTTGAATAGTGTATGTCCAAGTCCTTACTCAAGTGAGTTATTGGGCGGACCGGATTCGGCTTCGGGTAATGGTAGGCTACCCACAGTCCAACCCGTTAGCCTATTGGATGAGTTTGCTTGCAGATTTTTTTATATACATCTTTATTTAAAAATAATGAATATTTTTGTAGCTTAATATTTGTGTAAATTATATTTTTGAATCAAAAGTAAAGTGAAAATGGATATAAAGATGAACTACATCCAATAAAATGAATAAATCTTAACTAGGTTGACACCTATTAACTTATCTGTCATTTACATTACTCTACTATTTAAAACTTATATGCTTAATACATGGAAAAGAAAATAATATATTATTTATAATTTCTAAATTTTTAAAATTTCAAATTTAATAGTATAAAAGTATAATTTTTTTCAAGAAAAGTGGATGGATTGGGCTTGACGGATTGGCTTTTGGGCTGAGCTTCAGGCCGGAATTGGTTTGGAGGCGAACCCAAGCCCTCATTTTAAGAATATTAGGCTTGGACTCGGGCGGGCCAATTGTTAGGCCTATTGGGCTTTGGACTTATTTTTTTCGAGCCGGTGATGAAACCCGTGGGTAATCTGATTTATGGACACCCCTAGCCAAGGGAGAGAGAGAGTACGATTCTCTTTTATCTTTTTTTTTTTGGAAGAAAATTTCCAGTGTATTGAGGACAAAATAAAATAATTTTTTAATTATTGGGGTCATGTGAATCCAATAACATAGTCGAGAGTATAACATGAAAAATGTGGAATAATGTAAAAAAAGTCATGGTTGAAAGGGTCAAAATATTATTTTTTTTCTTAAACATTTTACAAACAATACAATAGATCCAAATAGACTAAAAACCAATTAGGTAATATCAAATAAAAGACTAATTTTATTTAAACTTAATTTACTGACCTAAACTTCTATTGGTACTCATTGATATACTCTTAACAAATTTGGATTATTTAATCTCGTACCTCTAAATTCTAATACATTTGTGTAATATAATTTGTAGAATAATGCCTTGTAACCTAACTATAAACATGAATACTGTCTCGTCGGCATCTTGAAGCGGCACAACGGACACAAATGGCTCGTCTCTAGCCACTGAACAATGCAGTCTCTATGATATTTATGCGAACATGGCATGCGACTAGCTTCTTGCCCATCACAAAGTGTTTCCAAGCAAATCATACACTGTTCCGTGGAACCTGAACCATCAAGTCTCACCTTATCGAGGGCTTCAATGGATGATTTGGTTGCTGACTCTGGGCTGAACATTCCAACTCCATGGATTCTTGCATCACTCTTGCGACTGCTTCAGTTTCATCGTTTGACACCCATGACCATGTCTCCATCAAAATATTTGCAGTGATTATGGGTGTCTCACCACCATCACTTGTTCCAATTTCCCGATAGAACGAGATGATGTCATCTATAGGACGTTCGTGATGATGGGTCGGAATTCCCACATTTAAAAGACACGGAGATAAAATCATCCATGCCGAGTCCTCAGAAAATAAAATATCAGGCAATAGAGGAAAAACGCCGACATTCTCCGGAGATTCTTGTACAGATCCATTAAAGTGTGCACGTTGTCGAAAACAGATTCGGAGGAGAAGTAACTCCGATGGTGGTGGCAGATGCCTGTATCTTTGGGGAAGAACATCGCTGACCAGTTGCACTGTATATTCTGTGTGGTGTGACATCTTGAATTTTGAAAAAGGAGAAGAAGACGAACAAAAACTTTGCAAAGCCAAATAAAAAATTCTATTCAATCAAGTCAGTCTGTGTACTACAAAGCAAACCTATTGTAGTTTATGTATATAATATTCCAATTAAGAAATTTCCTATTTAGACTATGATTAATTAACAATTAATAATAATAAAATTCTAATAGCAATAAATAAACAATAAAAAATTTAGAGAATTTGAGTCAAAGTCCAATAATAGAAAAACGCATGGAGGTAATTTACCGCTGCAAGGTTTCCAAATGAAATGGGAAAACTTATAATTTAGGATTCAAAGACCGAGCAGAATTTGGAAACGAATGAAAAAACTATTTACTGTCTATCTATATATATATCTTACTATCTATTTATATCTATATACAATTTCTAAATATGCACACATATTGAAAAAACTTTTATTTTACTCTTTTATCTTCTACCAACTCTTAAATATCTAAAATATCGTGCACATGAATAAACATTCATTACACCTTCCGTAAAGAAGAAGTATTCATTATAAAATACATTTATTTGTTGAGTGACCTTTCATGTCTCTCTTTTTCTTCTCACCACCTATTAAATTTTCAATAAATTCACCCCATCCACATTTCATCTAGCTTTACATGCATAGATATTTTTTCACTAATGCTATTGGGACATAATTTAGGGACCTAATAAGTTGTCACCAATGAAATAATACTAAAAAGCAATGCTATTGAGACATAATGAGTTGCCACTGCCACCGCCATCTCACCATCACCATCGCTGTTGTCGCTGATGGGTTAAGCCCAAGTAGTCCAATTTATGTATTAAAGCCCAACCCCGGTTGAGGAGCCCAACCTCATCGTGAATCCACCAAGTCCAAGACAGACCAAGGCCGGTTAGACTTCTTGCTTAGCACGTCACCAAGAGGAGAGCACGGGAAGTTTATCTGCACCGCCTTAAGGAGCCCAAGGCCGGTTAGACTTCTTGCTTAGCACGTCACCAAGAGGAGAGCACGGGAAGTTTATCTGCACCGCCTTAAGGAGCCCAAGGCCGGTTAGACTTCTTGCTTAGCACGTCACCAAGAAGAGAGCACGGGAAGCTTATCCGCACCACCGAAGGAAGAAAACGGTCCAATCTTTGACCACGTTCCTTCAAGAGTTCCCCAACCTCTTCCTTCCGTTGAGGATAAGTCGTGATCTCCACCAAAGATAATCTCTAAGCTGCGATAAAGAAGCCTTGAGGATATGTTATGATCTCCACAAGAATGATCTCTTATCTACTATAAAATGGCTCTAATCTGTGAGAGAAAAGACACATGCTCCATCAGAGACTTACAGAAGACGAACCGACTACCGGAGATTACTATTTTTTCTTTGATTCTCCATTCTCCCTCTCAAAGCTTGTATCTCCATTCTCCATACCTTTGAATCAATAAAATACCCGGCGACTGAAGCCATTGAAGAGTGGACGTAGGTCGAATTGACCGAACCACTATAAATTGTGTCTTCTTTAATTTTTTCGTTGATTTCATTGCATTTATTATCTATACTTGACAGGTGGTGTGCAAAACCATTTTTGTGCATCATCAGTTTGGCGCCGTCTGTGGGAAACGACAAAATTCTCACTCCTGAACATTACGTCCATTAATTAATGGCGATCACTACTCGATCCATGAACCAACACGAAGACAATCCTCCACGAGAGGAGGAGGTTGTTCCCCCGCCTGCCAACCCTGTTCCGGATACTTTGCCCCGAATCCCCAACAAATATTGGAGACCATGCAGCAACTGGTTGCTCAAAACCAACAGTTACTGCAACTCATACTTGCTGGACAAGGAGGAGCACCACACGGAGGTGCACAACATGGAGGACCCCAAGGTGGAGCACCACACGGAGGTGCACAACGTGGAGCACCACATGGAGGTGCACAACATGGAGGGCCCCACAGAGGTGCACAACATAGAGCACCCCAAGGAGCTCCACATCCTGAACATCAAGGAGCACCACGCCCTGTTGCTCCACGCCCAGGTGCCCCATTGGGCACCCCACTTCAGGAAGCCCAACATGAGGGAGCTGCACCTCCCCCTCCCCTTGCTTTCACGGAGATGACCCTTATCTCCAGGAGGATGAGGGTGAAAACCAAAGCATGGGGCATGGAAGCCACTTCCATGATCATTCCAGAGGAGCCCCCAATCATTGGGACGAGAAGATAAAGGAGGTACAAAATCAACTCGGTGATGTCTTCAACGCCATGAAGGCACAGGGACCCGAGACTGTTGACCACCTGGTAAGGCGTACTGATACCCCTTTCAAATCTGATGTAGCAAACTACCCCCTCCCTCAGAAGTTCAAAATGCCATCTGTGGAGACCTTTGATGGAACAAAGGATCCACTGGACCACCTCGACACTTACAAGACCTTGATGCAATTGCACAACGTACCAGACGAAATCATGTGCAGGGCATTCCCAACCACATTAAAGGGGTCTGCCCGACAGTGGTTTGCTAAGCTCTCCCCCGCCTCTATTGCCTCCTTCGCCGAGCTTAGCAGATCATTCGTCTCACACTTCATAGGAGGGCGTCGCCACCAGAAACCAGTTACGCACCTGCTTAGTATAAAGCAGGACCGCGAGGAGAGCCTGAGGAGTTACCTCACTCGTTTTAACGAGGAGGTACTCCAAGTTGATGAACCTGACGACAAGGTGACGATGACCGCTTTCTTGGGTGGCCTCCGTTCATCAAGTTTCCTTTTCTCAGTTCTGAAGCGCCCACCGAAGAGCATGCCAGAGCTGCTAGCCAAGGCCCAAAAGTACATAAACGCAGAAGACATTACAAGGGCCAGGCGGGGTGAGTCTTCCAGAGCAGGTGAGAAAAGGAAGGAAAGAGAGAAGGACGATAAGAAGGAAACCAGCAACAAATATGGCAGGACAGAGAAAGTCCTGTCAAGGACCGGCTAGGTCCTGCTCCTCAGAGGAACCGTCAACCTTTCACTCCCCTCAATGCTTCCGTGGAACACATCCTATTCCAGATCCAGGATGACCCCGCGATAAAGTGGCCTGGAAAAATGAAGTCTCCTCCAAATCGCAGAAATCCTAACAAGTATTGCCGCTTCCATCGTGACCACGGGCATGACACCGACGATTGCTACGACCTCAAGAGGCAAATTGAGGAGCTCATCCAGCGTGGTCACTTGCGTCAGTACGTTGCTGGAAGGGAACGTGTACCACAACCTCACAACCAGGAAGATCAGCAACCTGTGGGGGAAATCCACACTATCTCAGGGGGACTAGCAGGTGGAGGGGAATCACTTTCCGCGATGAAGGCCCATGCCAGGAAGGCAAGACATGTCTACGAGATGCGCCCATCTAAGGTGCCGAAGCAGGAAAGCGACGAGGTCATATCTTTTTCAAACAAGGACCTGGAGGAAATTCAACACCCCCATGATGACCCCTTGGTGCTCACCATGACGGTGGCCAACTTTCATGTGCACAGGATCCTGGTAGATAGTGGCAGCTCTGCAGATATCCTATTTGCAGAGGCCTATGACAAGCTCAACCTGGGCAGGGAGAGGCTACAGCCAATCAGGTCACCCCTCATTGGATTCTCAGGGGAAAAAGTGTATCCCCTTGGATCCATCACACTTCCCGTCACCGCCGGAGTAACACCCCGAAGCTCCACAGTCATGGTCAATTTCCTGGTAATAGAATGCCCGTCGGCCTACAACATCATATTAGGGCGACCAGCTCTTAACACATTAAGAGCTGTGCCCTCTACCTACCATCTCGTTCTCCGCTTTCCAACCTTAAATGGAGTCGGAGAGGTCAAAGGGGACCAAATAACAGCCAGAGAGTGCTATGTATCCTCTATGAAGGCTAGGAAGCCCCAAGAAGCATTGCAAGTTGAGGTCCTTGACCCAAGGGATGACTCCGCCACAGAAAGAGGAGAACCAGTCGAGGAACTCATCCCTGTGGTCTTAAAAAGGAGCACCCAGACAGAAGAATTTACATTGGCTCTTCCCTTTCTGAAGAGCTGGCTCCCCTGTTGATTCAATTTTTGGAGCATAATATGGACATCTTTGCCTGGTCGCATGAGGACCTTGAGGGCATCAACCCGGAAGTAGCTACCCACCACCTCAATGTCGATCCGCGATACAAGCCTGTTCGCCAAAAGTTAAGGGGAGCCTCCACTGAAAGGGCCCAAGCCATGGACAAGGAGATTCGAAAGCTGGTTGATAACGGAGCAGTCAGGGAAGTGGCGTATCCAGAGTGGCTCTCCAACGTAGTAATGGTCACTAAGGCTAATGGGAAGTGGCGTCTCTGTGTCGACTTCACAGAACTGAACAAGGCATGCCCAAAAGATAGTTATCCACTGCCGCGGATTGACCTCCTCATCGACGCCACCGCTGGGCATGAGTTGCTCACTTCCACCAAAGAGCTCCAACGCCTCAATGGAAGGATCGCAGCATTAAATAGGTTTGTCTCCAAATATGCAGATAAATGTCTCCCCTTTTTCAAAAACTCTCCGAAAAGCCTTTGAGTGGAAACCTGAGGCAGAGGAGGCTTTTCAAAAGCTTAAAGCCTACCTAGCAGCACCTCCCCTCCTGTCACATGTTGCTCCTGGAGAGACTCTCCATCTATACCTATCTGCTTCCCCATCAGCGGTAAGCTCAGTGCTCGTTAGAAACAACAATGGTGTGCAGAAACCAGTTTATTATGTGAGCAGGGCATACCGGGGGGCAGAAGTCAGATATTCAGCACTAGAAAAACTGGCACTCGCTCTGGTCACGACAGCGAGACGGCTGCGACACTACTTCCAGGGCCATCGTATGGTGGTCATCACCGACCAACCACTTAAAAGAATCTTGGGAAAGCCGGACGTGTCTGGAAGACTTCTTAAATGGGCAGTAGAACTCGGGGAATTCGACATTCAGTACCAACCTAGGACGGCCATCAAAGCACAAGCCCTAGCAGATTTCGTAGCTGAACTCACACCAAC